TATTGTACTGGAAGTTAGCTAATGTAATAAGACAAGAAAAGGAAACAAAAGTCATTCAGCTTGGGAAGGAAGAAGTAAAACTGTCTTTATGCACAGATGACATGATTATCTTGTAGAAAATCTTAAAGAATAGACAAAAACTCCTGGAGCTAATAAGGGAGTATAGCAAGGTCACAGGACACAAAGTTAATATACAAAAGTGAATCATTTTCCCATATACCAGCAATGAACAATTGCAACTTGAAATTAAAAACGCAATAGAATTTATATTAAAACTCCAAAAAGAAAAAATACTTGGCATACATGTAACAAAATACATACAAGATCCATATGCAGAAAACTAAAAAACTCAAAAGAATTCAAAGGGGATCTTAAATGGAGAGAATTGTGTTCATGGATAGAAAGACTCAATATTGTAAAGATGTCAATTCTTTCCAACTTGCTCTGTGGATTCAATGCAATCTCAATCAAAATCCCCACAAGTTATTTTGCAGATCTCAAAAGACCAATGCTAAAGTTTATAAAGAAAGGTAAAAGACCCAGAATAACCAACACAATAATGAAGAAAAAGAACAAAGTTGGAGTACTGACAGTATCAACATCAAGACTGACTAACAAGTTATAGTAGTCAAGGCAGCAAGGCATTGACAAAAGAATAGAAAGACTGATCAATAAACAGAATATAGAGGGCAGAAATAGACCCATAAAAATATAATCAGCTTATCTTTGGCTAAGAAACAAAATCAATTCAGTGGAGAAAAGACAGTATTTTCAACAAATGGGCCTGGAATAACTGGACATCTACATGCAAAAAAATGACCTAGTTATAGAACTTACACCTTTTACAAAAATTATCTCAAAACAGATAATAGACCTAAACTGCAAAATTCAAAATGAGAAAACTTCTAAAAGACAGCATAAGAGAAAATCTAAATGATGTTGGGTTAGGTGATGCTTATTAGATACAACAACAGAAGTATGATCCATGCAAGAAAAAACTGATAAACCGAACTTTATTAAAATTAAAAATTTTTGTTCTACAAAAGACAATGTTAAGAGAATGAAAAGAAAGCCACATCCTGGGAGGAAATATGTGCAAAACACATTATCTGATAAAGGACTTACATATAAAATATACAAAGAACTCTTAAAATTCAACAATAAGAAAACAAACATCTCAATAAATGGGCAAAAGATCTAAACAGACACAGAGAAGATGTACAGATGGCAAATAAGCATATGAAAAGATGCTGAACAGCACTTGCTATTAGCGAATTACAAATTAAAGCAACGAGATACTACTACACACCAATTTCAATGAATAAAATCCAAAAAACTGACAGTATCAAATGCTGGTGAAGACATGGAGCAACAGGAAATTATATTCATTTATGGTGGGAATGCAAAATCTTACAGACACCTTGGAAGATAGTTTGGCAGTTTCTTACCAACGTCAGTATAATTTTACCATGCATTTTGGCAATCACATTCCTAAGTATTTACCCAATTGAGTTAAAAACTTACGTCCATACACAAATCTGCACATGAGTATTTATAGAGGCTTTATTCATAAGAACCCCAAACTGAAAGTGACTAAGATGTCCTTTGATAGGTGAATGGATAAACAAACTATGATACATTCATACAATCGCATATAATTCAGTGCTAAAAAGAAATGTGCTATCAAGCCTTGAACAGACAAGAAAGAAGCTTAAATGCACACAGCTAAGTGAAAGAAGCCAGTTTAAAAAGGTACATACTCTATAAGTACAGTTATAGGACATTCTAGGAAAGGCAAATCTAAGAGATAGGAGGAAAATCAGTGATGACTTGGATTCTGGGGAAGAAGGGAGGGATAAACAGGTGAAGCAGAGGGGATTTTTAAGGTGATGAAACTATTCTGAATAACACTATAATGGTGTATAAGTGACAATATAGATTTGTCAAAACATGTTGGAATGTACAACTACAGAGATTGAGTCTTAATGTTTATTAATTTTTTTGCTCTTTTTGCTGAGGAAGATGGGTCCTGAACTAACATCCATGCCCATCTTCCTCTACTTTATATGTGGGATGCCTGCCACAGCATGGCTTGACAAGCAGTGCGTAGGTCCTCCCCGGGGATCCGAACCAGCCCACACCCGGGCTGCCAAAGCAGAACGTGTGAACTTAACAGTTGTGCCACCGGGCCAGCCTCAATGTTTATACATTTTTTAAAAAATCATTCATGAATTTGAGAGAGAGAGAAAAATAAAGAATTTAACCGTATTACAAATGTATGAAACAACTTCACTGAATGGGATAGGGGAAAAGTAATTTACCTAGGTAACTTTAAAAACGAAAGAGATCTGTAAAATTAAAAGCAAAAGGAACTGCAAAACAGCACTGTACTCCACGGATAAAGATGTTTTCCATAGAGGTACCAGTTAATAATTCTGATACTACTATAACATGTGTACTGGAACTGAAGAATAACTAAATGGGACGAGGCTAGAATGATTCACGTGGAAATGGATTAGAGTTGGAGAGACTGGTAAGAACTTATGTTTAGTTTAATACAGATAGTTAAACATAGAAATATTTATGAATATGTATATATACAGATTAGTATACACACATAAACTTCTTTGTTTTAGTAGTGGAAAGGCACGAAAAGAAATGACACCTCAGAAGCAAAGAGCATACCTAGTAGCCAGATCTTGCCTTCTAATACTATTCTCAAATAAAAGGAACCAGGGCTTCTTAGAGAAATGGCTAATTCTAGGAGTAGAGCAGGAAATATACAAGATGACTCTGTGGCATCTTCTAGTGCCAGAAATTAAAGAAGTGCTCCAAAAAATACCCATAATCATAGCGATACGTCAAGGTGACACAGAAGTCAATGGAAAAAGCTTCCAATGGGCAAAATTAGAAAAATCTGAGCAACAAAATAAAGTAGAATTGGATTATAACTCAAAGTATAAAATAAATGTCAACGAGTCAATACTGATATAAATAAATGACTGAATAAATTAATAAACAGTGGAGAGGAGATAAATCTCCTAATGGAGAATTCCAAATAAATTATGTAGATACTCCACTCTACAGGATGGGGAGTAAAGCCTCCTTATTCTCAAAATGTGGGTTGTGCAAAGGATCTTCCGTCCAAAGAGTATGGTATGGACAGGGGCCAGGGAGATTTTACAGTGGAGAAACCTGACAAACTCATCAGCTAGGTGATCCAGGTCAATATTCACATTCATAAATCATGTAGAAAGTATGTACCCTTGATATGATGTGATAAAAATGCTATTTTACCTTTGTGATCTTCTTCTCAAAACTCATAATCTCAGTTTAATTAAGAGAATACCACTAGACGAATCCCAATAGAGGGGCAATCTACAATATACCTGAACAGTATTCCTCAAAACTTTCAAGGTTATCAAAAACAAGGACAGTCTGAGAAACTGTCACAGCCAAATGTAGCCCAAGGAGACATGACAACTAAATGTAATGTGTTATCTTTGACAGCACCCAAGAACAGAAAAAGGACATTTGGTGACAACTAAAGAAACCTGAATAAACTATGGACTTTAGTTAATAATAATTTATCGAAACATAAAAGATGCAAAATAATTTTAAAAGTATAAAGTTAATATAAAATGAGCAGAGTATGCAAAAATAAAGATAAAGAAATACATCTTAAAGTTAAGAGATGTTCTAGCAGAAAGCTACAATTTGGGGTGATTTTTATTTTCCTCCTTTCAATTTTTCTGTTCTTTAAAAAACAATTCTTATGATAAGATGATAGTATTTTTAATATCAGAAAAAAAATCCAGCATATTACAAAAAAGATGGTTGTCTGGGTCCTCCTCAAAACTCCATTTTTATCTCCATGAGAATGGGAGCCAAAAAGTCTTTGGCTGACTATATTATCTCTAAAATTCCTTCCAACTGTAAGATCATGTGAATTACATAAATTTTAACTAAAATCCATGTCCCAGCTATGCATCTGGTAGGGACCCAGAAATATTTAATTACCACATGACTCCCAAATATACTGGTTAACATACATTTTGTGCCAGATATACTCATAATCTACCAGTGTCCTAACAACACACTAGAAATGAGCCCAACTCTGTGTTACATAGTATAAATGCAGTATATTTTTGGTGTAAAGTATGTCTTTTTATGTCACTGTTTTTCATTTGTTTGTTTTAAATTTCCATCTGACTCTGAAATAGGATGCAAGTTCTTGTGTGCAATGTGGCATCCATGCCTAGGATGGACATAGGTTGAAACAGGAGTTAGTAAATATCTGTAACATAAAGGATGACTGTCACTTATACATAAATTATACAATTTGCATCAGTTGTTTGTTTGCTTTAAGATTAATCCTCATGCATATCACCCATAGGCCACTATCAGTAACTCTTAAAGAGATTTAGAAGATGAGATCCTAAAAGAAAGGCATCCTGGAAATTGAACAAATGGGCACTTCAGCATAGCTAACAGAGGTAGAGAATCACCACTTTTTAAATATACAATAGGCCTAACGATATTAATTTTGGACTATACAAGAAAAAGACCTAACTATCAAGGTAGCATAAGATGCTTTAATGTATAAAGCCAATAAAATGTAACAAAGTTGTAAAATGGCCTTGGGGGAAAAATTGGAGATGAACAAACTAGACTGCAGATATTCGGCATGTGGGTGGTGACTATTCTGGGCTCTCTGCAACGTTCTATTCTTGAATCTTTAAGTTTTACTCAACCACAACTTACTCATGTGTGAAAATAAGGAAGACATCACAACAGAAATTAACGACTAAAAAAATTGGGATAGACATATTTAAATGTTTCTGCAAAAAAATACTATCCATCTTCCTAGCATTAGGGTTCCATTTTGTTGAATTTAACTTTGAGAGTATAAGTCAGAAAAAAAAAAAAAACTAGAGGTTAAAATCAAACTATTAAAATCAGGAGGTGGTAACAACTTTGTTTTCTTTTCCAGCCATTACCTTCTGGCTCATTTTTGATGAGCTCTTCCATTTTCCTCTGCTTCAAGGTGTCAACAACATCAGCTAAGCTGCCTTTACGCCGTTCGGGAGTTCCCAGGGCTGTACTAGACAAGGACTCGCCACTCTGTCGCCCACCTTCTTCTGCCTTCTGAGGTGAGGTAGATGAGTTGTGTGGGGCAAATGAAGACATAACTTTATTGCCATCAACTTCCTGAAAGAGAAAGCAAACGGAAAAAATATTTCTTTAAAATTCACTAAGCTTTTTCTAAAATTGGTTATGTGGCTTATTCAGCTGAAACATTAAAAAGTGCAATGTCTACTCTGCAAGAGCAAAGGAATAAAGAAATTTCAAAGAAGAATGCATTAACTTTACAGGCTAGCACTAGAGTGAGTCAAAGATTAATTCATATGAGAAAGAAAAATATGGAGATTCTCTTCCTTAGACTGAGTACAAAGGGCAATGTAGCCTTGTGCAAAGCCTATATTGATTAGATTTATTTATTTTTCTGCTTTTGTTTGAAAGTCTAAGGTTTTGCTAGGACATTATATGTAGCAGTACTCTGTATGAAACCTCCTTACGACACTGTAATATTTAAGTAAATAACATTATATATACTTTAACTTTCCTTTTAACGAGCTGCCTCTTCTTGATGGTGCTCCTAATTAAAGAGAGGTCCTCTTTTAGCTCTCCACCTCCCTCTCAGCTTCTGAGAAAGCACCAGCCACACAGGTTATTTTGACATCAGATAGGAATATTGCCAAGTTCACTTCTGCTTATGCTCAAGATATTTCCGATTCCATTTTGTTACCTGAAGCATTGTTTCTGTCAATATTCTTTGCTATTTTGCACTTTAAGCCACATCTGCCCTAGAAAATAAAGTTTCTCACAGTCTTTGCCTCTTCATAATTGTGTACGTGTATGAAAAGAATTTATTCTCTACTTCTAAAATTTAACTGTATTTTTGGTATTCTTTTTGTCTGTATTTTCCCCACAATTGTCAGCACAACTCTGGCATTCTGTATAATATTTGGGATATATTTTGTGTAAACAGCACTAAATTGATTTTTCAGACATTTTCAAGATGGGTGTTATTAAGATGATAAAGAAAAATTAATTTTCTTACTTAAAGGTTTTCCCTGTATAGCCTCTTACTTCCACAATCCTTCGACTTCCCACAAAGCAGAGCTCAAAAATAAATCTGTATCCTAAGATCTCTGAGGAAGTTACTTTCCCTTTAAGTATATTTCTTAATTCTACAGCATTAAAAGTTTCTATTAAAATATATTTGAGTGTGCACATATTTAATATTCAGGATAATAGATTATATCCATATTTACATATTTCTTCTCTATCTAAGACATGTTAATAGGATCAGTTGACCCCAGAAGTGACAAATCACATTTATTTGATACCTTATGGTTTAAGGTTAATGCTACTATTTCTAACTTAAACAAAAACTACTTGATAAAATTGTCATTCTAATTTTTAAAAATAGATTAAAAATAGAGATATTAACACAAATATCATAATCTGTTCATATGATATTTATTAATGGATATTAGTGAGGACAAGGACATTAGCTATGATACAAACATCAGTTTGTAGTGTGGGTCGCGGCAATGTGGGGAAAGCAAAAGAAAAAATGTGTGCTAACAGAATTTTGAAATTATAATTCTAAATCCAAAATTATTTCCATTTCTTAGAAACATTACAGAATATGCCTCTAACGGTTACTATGTCTTGACTGAATATTCTATAGACAATACTTTCATAGATGAATCTTAGCTTATAATGAACTTGGATTTAGGAATCAGCATGCATAATGTAATAATTACAAGCGGCTGCAAGCTGAGTGAAGGTACACTTCTGGAATTATTTATTTAAAACCCACACATGAATACAAGCAAACACATAAACACACACATGCCTGAAAAGAGCAATGACAAATTCCTTCAGTAAACTAAGGAAGGTTTTTATGAATGGCCCATAATACACATTACCTCAGTTTAATGTGCAAACCAGAATCCAGCAAAATCTCTGTATTCATTTTCTACAAATCTTTCTTTTTATTTATTTCCAGGGTCAAAGCAGAAGCACCCCAATTTTAGCTTCACATTGAACATAGATCTATTTTATACTCTATTTTCATATTATATGATGACAAACTTTACAAACAAGAATTTGGCACCTCAAATTCACTTGCCATAATTGAAAATTACACACATCTTTATACAACACCATCAGTAGAGAGAATGGCACCCAAATTATCTGCAATCAAGTCTATTAAAAATATCAGAACTTGAAGTCAGCAATTCCAAAAGTCCCATGCACCCCTATGTTCATTGCAGCATTATTTACAATAACTAAGATGTGGAAGCAACCTAAGTGCCCATCAACTGATGATTGGATAAAGAAGATATGGTATATATATACAATGGAAGACTACTCAGCCATAAAAAAGAATAAAATCATCCCATTCACAACAACATGGATGGACCTTGAGGGAATTATGTAAAGTGAAATAAGTCAGACAGAGGACAATCTCTGTATGACTCCACTCATATGAGGAATTTAAACATGTGGACAAAGAGAACAGATTAGTGGCTACCAGGGGAAAGGGGGGAGTGGGGGGGCGGGCACAAAGGGTGAAGGGGTGCACCTACAACACGACTGACAAACAATAATGTACAACTGAAATTTCACAAGATTGTAAACTGTCATAAACTCAATAAAAAATATATCAGAAAATATTTCAATTTAAAGCAAAATAAAATAATATACCATTTTGCAAGTCTCTAATTTTCTACACCTTGCCAAGGGCAAGGACATTTTTTTAAGAGTTTAACATATTTCCCAAGTATTCTAAACTCAGTTACCACAATAGTATAAAAATAAATTAATTAATTATGCATTACTGCTATTTCACACAGGAATATTTATCTTATCGCTATTTCACCTGTCTGATTACATTTCAGCCTCTGGCACTGTTAATCCCTTTAACAGTTTTATGGAGTTAACAGATGTTTCAGTGTGGGACTCGACTGCTCATTTGCATGGTGAATAGCTTGTTGGGGAGCGCAGGCATAGTCTTGAGTCAAGGTACTCCTATCGTTTTTAGTTTCTTCCCTGGAATTGCATTTACCATAACTGAAATAATAACTGCATGCTTCTCTTCACTTGCTGGCAGGTGAACATCCAGAGGCATTAGTGGTCCAGACCAGCAATAAATATTTAATCGTTTTGTGAACTCTAAGGACAAGCTTCAGTATTTTGCAGAAGAGCTCTCAAAGTTGTGATGTATGACTTCAAAAGTCTAATGACAAAAGAGAGTCCTAAACTTTTAGAATGAGGTTGATTTTTGAACAAGCTTTATTTAATCTTGCCCCCTTTTCAACCATGAGACAACGGAAGGGATCTGCCTAATCTATGTATGTATCTATCCTCATTGAAGCACTTTCTTTAAATACACTCTTACTAATTAATTCTAAGGACAGAATTTTGCTATGAACACTTTGAGAGAAATATTATTTCAACCATAACATTCAAATTTTAGTTTCATAATGCAGTGATTAAGAAGAATTACCTCATTTGAAAAAAGAGACTATATGCAACTCAACCAAACATATGTTCCTTTTATTGTCCAAATGACATTTCACCCTTGACTTCTGGCCTCAAGAAACACAGTATCATGCTTAGTTTTGGTGCTATAGACTGGAATTGAATTCATACACTATAGTAAAAACATCACATTTAATAGTCAGCCTATCAGACAATAATTGCTAAGAATAATAGCCAATATTTATTGAATATTTATTTTGTGTCAGGCACTGTTTAAAGTGCCTTATTGCATTAACTCAGTTAATTTTCATAAGCCTAATTATGATTTTTACTTCATAGCTGAAGAAACTAAGGCACATGGACTGAAGTAAACGCATGAGATTGTATGACTAATAAAAGGTAAAGTAGATAATCAACCCCAACCTGCTGGGCTCCAGAGCCCTGGTGCTCAACCACAGTGGTAATACTATCTCTCTCTTAAAAGAATAACAAAACCCTATGTCTATATCTATGAATGTTATGGGTGAACAGATATACTGCCTTCTTCTTAATAATTAACTATGAAAACGAGAGGTTTTCACCCCAATATGTTCAACTCCTAAAGAAAAGAAATGATATATATGCACTGAAATTAATTAATCCAACCATATTCTAGACTCATAAAGCTGTCTCCATCAAAATATCATACCATATGAATATGGTTTATGTCATATTCAAAAAGATAAACCTTAAGGTTTAAATAATTATTTAAACCAAACACACAGATTTGACCTCTAAGTGGTTAATCAAAGTAATGGTACTCAATAGTTTATGAGTTTTTTAATCTATCTTTACAAAATGCATGGACATGTCTAGCATCCCTTCTAGTACAATAAAAACAGTACAGAAGATTTGCACTATCTTTAACTAGATTCTGTTTAACGCAAGTTCATTAATTTTGGTATTGCACAGAGACAGCATAAAACGAACTGCAGATACACAGAGAAAGTGCTTTGGTGCTGAACAAGCTTTGACAAGGTCACATTCTTCTTCCAGTAACGGGCTGTTCCTGTAAATATCCGTAGGACAAGGCAAAACAAAACTTTGAAAAATATCTTAAAATCTATACTATTTGGTGGAAATGGGTGAAGACGGTCAAAAGGTACAAAGTTCCAGTTACAAAATAAATAAGTCCTGAGGATGTAACATACAGCCCGGTGACTAAAGTTAATAATACTGTATTGTATATTTGAAAGTTGCTAAGAGAGTAGATGCTAAAAATTCTCATCACAAGAAAAAAAGTTTGTAACTGTGTGTGGCAATGGATGTTAACTAGACATTGTGGTGATCATTTTGCAATATATACAAATAACAAATCACTATATTGTACATCGGAAAATAACAGTTATATGTCAATTATATCTCCGTAAAAAAGTTACATTATCTGGTTATTTCTTAAATTCTTTAAAAAGTTGAATTATCACAAATGTTTATTTTGAAACTAAATTGTACTACAGTAATGCAGGTCATAACAACATTTCAGTCAATGATGGATCGCATATACAATGGTATACACATAGCCTATAAGCATATAAGATTAGTACCACATAGCCTAGGTGTGTAGTAGGCTATACCATCTTGGTTTGTGTAAATACACTCTATGATGTTCACAC